GGTTTGCACACGGCGTCCCCACTCGAGGCCGCGCAAACGAGGCTCCAGCACCTTCAGAAGCTGGGCACCTTCCGGTGTCAAGGGCAATGCGTGCCGGCAACGCGAAGATTGGCGTTTGCACAAGCAAGTCCCGTAGCCGCTGGCCCTAGCAACGCTTTCAGAGGCCTCAAGCGCTGTCGGTCGTGAGTAGTCGAGTGCATGGGGTGGAAGGTGCTCGAGAGGCCTGCTCGTGGCTACTCCTTTTCCTCAACCAGAACTTCTGTCCCATCTGCTTTGCTTCACGCTTGTCCGTTTGGGCCGATGCACTTTTGTACGTAAGTGTCCGGCGTGACGCGTCTGTGCAATCGGCTCAAGCGCTCCAAGGGACCGATGTGGGGGCACGAGGGATCCAGTTGGTCCGAGGCCCCGAGCGACGGGTCGGTTTAAACCTCGCGTTGCCAGACTTCTTGGCCAGGAAGGTGTGCAAAGCCACACGGAAAACGGTGGCCCTAACGACCGGCTTTGTTGTCCTCCTCGGTCTGGCGGCCGGTGCCTCGCCGATGCGAACCGGACGACAGTGCCACCGGAGTTTGCCGAGTTGACAGGTTCTTCGGTTGTTAAGAGTCACATGCAACCCGAGGACGATCCGCTCCCAGTGCGTTGCTGTCTGCTCTGTCTGATGCGTCGTTGAACAGACTAACCGAGACGCCGTCGAGCCCTTGAATGCGATAGAAATGAGTCGTTTCATCTCGGATTCACCCACTTGCGCAGAATGAGTCAAGACAGCCAGTCGTGGCGCTTGATGACACGACTGGACTCGTCATTGCACTAAAAACAGGGACGGCGCGGGTGGGTGCCGACGCAAACCACCTTTTGCCGCACACGAGGGGACGAATAGAAGCATTCTTCCCCTCCCCAAAGGCCCCACCGACTGGCTCTATACAGACAAAACGTGCAGTCCCCTCCGTCTTGATACGGACGAGGTGGCATGCCAACCCACTCTTCGTCTTCCCCTCCTTATGCGGGCACAAGTTAGCATCACAAGGAAAGGTGAAACCTTGCCCGTTTCCTACAAACAAGACTAATTTATTCATGGGTCTGTCTCTGTGCTCTGGTTAAATTCAATTTGGTCATGAATGAGAGGATGGGAACAGGCTTCTGAAAGTTACCGAACCAATGCTTATTTCAGCCTAGCAACCGATTCACCCACTTAAACAAAAATAAACAGTACATGAATAGATAGATATACATACATACATACATACATACATACACAAATACGTATATATGTACATGTATGAGGTAATATCAGCGTCTCGTAGAAAATAAAC